GAGGGGCTTTGGGGACAGAGAGGGCCGGCGGCGCCCGCCATCTTTGAGCGGGGCAGGGGGTCTGCGCTGTGGCTTCCCGGCCTCTCCGCCGCGCTTCAGAGAACGCTGGGATTCCGTGCTTTTTTAATTTGGGAGAAAGAGACCGAGAGATCGCTGCCTCCTCCGCCAAAGAACATCTGCTGGAGAAGCTGGAGGGCTGGAGAGGCGATGCTCGAGAGTTCCCTCGGGGCGGTTCGCTCAGAGCCGCCGGCTCTGCCCCTTCGCCTTGCTCATTTTATGGCCTTTCCTTGACTGGCACAGCCCAGGACCGACGGAATGTGGGGTCGTGCCTCCGTTTCTCTGCCCTGCTCTCCAGGCGCTGAGGGCCGAGCCCCAGCCCGCCCTCCCACCTTCTGGGGTCTTCAGTCCAGGGGAGGCCCCCTGAGAGGGCAAAGGCTGGAAGCGCGGAGATTGCCCGAGTTGGCCATCGAAGGGTGGGGATTTAGCTCCTAGGTAGAGCGCTTGCCTGGCCTGTGCAAAGAGGCCCCACGTTCAGTCCCTGCCACCGCAAAACTTGCGCTTGGGGAAACTGGGGAGGAAGGTTCGAGACCAGTCTAGTCTACATAGAAAGTTCCCAGGTTATATAGGGAGACCCTGCCTAAAAAATAAGCAGTGGCACCCACGCTTTAGAGAGAAGTCCCCAGGGTCCTATGGAGACTTGGCCCCCTCCACCCTGCAGATTTTTTTAAATACGTTATTATTTTTATTTTAGTGTATGAATGTATTGCCTGCATGTGTGTGCACCCGTGTTGTGCAATGCTCACAGAGGTCAGAAGAAGGTTTTGGATTTCCCCTGGAACTGGAGTTATGGAAGGTTGTTAGCCGCCATGTGGGTGCTGGGAATGGAACCCTGGTGAGTCATCTCTCCAGCCCCACCCTGCAGTTTTACACAATCTTCCCAAAGCCAGCAGCCAGTGTGCACACCCTCTGGCGGCTGCTTTAAGAAACTCGGTGCCTAGAGACCGCTTGTAGGAGGAGGAACCCAACCTCATCCTTAAGTTCTCCACGGTCCAAGTAGGAGTAAGTAAACGGTGAAGCGGCTCAGGGTCTGGCATATGAATAAAGAGAATGTCTATCTTGCAAGTAGGCTGGGTTGTGCTGTTGGGGAGTGAGGTTAGGTTGATCATAATCACAGCTTACATTCCTGTGTCTTGAGTTGAGGCACGGAGCTCCCAAGTGTGAGGCTTTGTGCTGAGGCACTACCACATCCTGAGCTGGCTCTGGTATGTGGCTGCGCCAAGGGTGGCCCCCACCAGAGGAGCCACCACAAGTATCCACCATCCGCCATTTCCAGCACTACAGTAGGACAAAAAGAGAGTCAAAGATGGCTCCTTTAACGCACCTCTCATACCTCTCACCCATGGCGGGGTGTAGTAATGCAAGAGTTCCCTTAAATAGTTCTTGAAGTGACACACCCCACAAAGAATGTGCCTTCACATTAACTTGAAGCACTTAGAGAGGAAAGACCCCAGCAGAGCTTGCTTCAGCCACCTGCCTTAGAGAGCACATTCATTTTATGCATGAGGTCACTAAAACTTAAAGTAGTATGACATGCCCAAGGGGACATAACCTCTGATCATACCATTTCCATGAAAAGGGGCTGGGGAGCTAGGAAGGAAGGGAGAATTTGTGGATTGGAAAAGAAATACTTGTTTAAGAAGAGGCCAAGAGAACTAAGGAGAGAGCTGGGGACCCATGGACAGAGCCATTATAGAGTTGAACAGACCCTGCACCAAGGAGAGCTGTCTCCTACTTGAAGACTTCAGGGCACCAGCCAGCCAAATAAGTGAAGAGCCTAGGACTCAGATCCCGGGCAGGGCTGAGTGGGAAGCCACAGTTAGCACCCATGGATAGTCCAATGCTGATGATCAACACCCCCACCACCACAGGCTCCAGACCTGCAGGCACTCCCTTGTTCCATCTGTCCAGGATGGCTAAGAGCCCCACAATCAGCATCCAGGTACCCAGAACCTTGGAGTCAACAGAGATAAAAAGGAACCCATCAACTGCCCTTCCTTACCCAAATACACCAATGACACCTCTGTCAATGTCATCTGATCATCCCACATGGGAGCTAGGGGTGCCAAGGTAGAACCAACCCCATACTCCACCCAAAATCTGAACAATAGGCTGGAGTCTCAAGGGACATGACAAACGTTGAGACTCTCCCATGTCTTCCCTTCACACCTACCTGATCCAAGAAGCCATTGTTCAGGGACAGATAGGGGGCAGGATAGGTGGCAAAAATGTAGGCTGTCTCTTTGGGACCAGTCACTGTCAGGTTCCCACCTGTATAGTTCTGTAGGGCATCTTCGGGAGAGGGAGACACCCAGAGTTTCCATCTTTGCCTAGTCAAAAGCACTGCCCCCTACCCACAACAGCTGCCCCAATCCTGTTCCCTCTGGTACCGTAGTAGAGAACATAGGCGGCTCCTGAGGCACAGAAAGCAGACAACAGCTGCACAAAGCAGTAAATGGGGAGCTTGGCCCAGAGGAAGTGTCCCACCAGGCACAAGGCCAGAAAGAAGGCTGGATTTAGGTGGGCTCCTGCAAAGATCAAGGGTAAAAAAAATTGTCACTGTCAGACACAGTCACAATGCCACTACTTATGCCTACAATGCTTAAGACAGTATTATTTCCATCATACAATTTAAGAAATTAGCTGGGTGTAGTGGCTCATGCCTTTAGTCCCAACATTCAGGAGACAGAGGGAGGCAGATCACTGTGAGTTCAAGTCCAGTCTGGTCATATAGAGAGTTCCAGGCCAGCAGGGACTACGAGGAGACCCTGTCTCAAAAAGACCGAGAGAAAGAAAGAAAGAAAGAAAGAAAAGAAAGAAAGAAAGAAAGAAAGAAAAGAAAGAAAGAAAGAAGGAAGGAAGGAAAGAAGAGAGAGAGAGAAAGAAAAAGAAAGAAAGAAGAAAGGAAGAAAGAAAGAAAGAAAGAAAGAAAGAAAGAGAAAGAGAAAGTGGCTTATCAAGGTCACACAATGGAATTCAAGGTCAACCTGAGTGTGTCTCCTGGTTCCACTTGCAGCACACTATGCCTCAGGGCTCCGGCCAGTGTGCACTGAGAGACGAGCAGGTGAGGTTCTGAGCAGAGGTGAATGAGCTCCAGAGGGCTTCAGTGTGAGGCACAAAAGGATAGTAATAATCCTCAACACTGTTACAGATTTCTACCTGAGAGAATTAAGATTTATTGTGAAGAATGGGAACAGAGATAGAGGAAGTAGAGGGAGTAGATGAGGTCAAAGGCCTATCTCAAGTCCAGAGCACTGGTCAAGCTCAAGGAGATAATGTCTGTGTCCCCATCCCTCATTCACATGCCCTTCCTACCCCCTCCCTTGATCAGACCTTACCTTGCTCACCTGAGAAATTGCCTGCCACGTAGATGGCTACTGTAATCGCCAGAGAGCTGGCCAGAAACATGGTAAACAAGTTGCCTTTTGTTTCTTCACTGGTGACAGCCTGGGCCACAAACCCCTGAGTGAGAAGCTGGTGGGAAGAGGGTCGATGAGGAATGGAGAGTCCAGGAGACCAGTGGGAGAGAGACTGGGGAGACAGGGAGCCACCAGCAAAGATGAATAAACTTGAGGGACAAAGAAAAGAGGAAAACAGAGGAAAGGGAAAAGAAACGGGGGAAGTAAAGGTCAAGGAAAAAAGAAAGGGAAGAAATTGAAGAGACAAAGCTGGGCATGGTGCCACACACCTTCAGTTACAGAACTCTAGAGACAGAGGCAGGGGGTCTCTGTGAGATCTTGGTCTATACATTGAGATCCTGTCTCAAAAAAAAAAAAAAAAAAAAAAAAAAAAGTAGACTGAGCTGTGAGGATTGTGACTCTGAGCCCAGCCTGTGCTACAAAGTAAGACACTACCTCAAAACCAAACAAAATGAAGAAGTAGGAGAGGAAAGAGACAAGAGAGGCAGAGCAGGAGGAAAAGGGAAGAAATTGAGAGTTGAAAGGAAATGTGATACCAGGGGGAAAAACAAGGATACTAGGAAGAGCCACAAGCTCGTTTTTCTCTCCTCATGACCCCACCTACCAAGAGCACAAATACACCCAGAAACTCTGCTGGGCACTGTCAGACCAGGAGGCTGTGGATCCGGAGTTTGGGCCCTGATTTTGCCCAGGGCCTGAGTGCAGGCCATGGTGGGGACTCTATCACTGTTCTCTACTCCCTCTGTTTGCACAGGCACACAGCAACTATATACATAATTTTTTTTTTGGTCTTTTTTTTTTTTTTTTTTTTTTTTTGAGACAGGGTCTCCCTATAGCCTCAGCTGGTCTGGAGCTCACTATATAGACCAGGCTGGCCTTGAACTCTCAGAGATCTATCTGCCTCTGCCTCCCAAGTGCTGGGATTAAAGGCGGGCGCCACCACGCCCAGCCCCATACATCATTATTGACTGCCAGAGGAAAAGATAAGAAAGAGGCTTTAGTTCCAGGACAGCTGGGGCGACAGGGAGATCCTGTCTCAAAAAAGACATTAAAAAAAAAAAAAGAAAGAAAAGAAAAAGAAAAAGAAAAACCTTTAAAACCAGTTAGCTTACCTCCACAACAACAGTTGCACATGTGCAGGCCAGTTAAAAAGGCTTTCTGTGCATGTATGAAAGCCAGAGTATGGGGCTGGAGAGATGGCTCAATGGTTAAGAACACTGATTATTCTTGCAGAAAGCCAGAGTACACGGAGCTTGTCTAGAGTCTGCATCTTCTGCCTTCATCCCCATCCCTTCTAAGACTAGCTTCCCCTATGCAGATGGGTTATGGGAAAGACCCTGCTTCACACATCAGTTCCCTCCCTCCCGAAGACAACTATGTAAAGCAGTACTGATGCAGGATCCTGAGGCAGGATAGAAAGAGAAAATTAAGGGGGCACAAGAAGGAAAAGGAAGTCCTTACGAACCAAGAAGCACAAATTCCCCCATTAACAGCTACCTTTCTCCCTTCCCAGCTTGAAAACCTGCAGTTTTCTAGGAGTCTTCCTAGAGACTCCTGTCCAATTCTAGTGGCTCCTGGTTTTACTTTGTTCTTTGAAGCCATCTCTGGAGCTAACCTATAATCTCACTTGTCAAAAGAGAGAGGCAAGTTTATTTGAAAGGTTTCTATAACAGCCTTTTGAGATGTAACATGAAAGCCACAAAAAATGGCATATATAGCTAATGCTAAGACGATCAATTGTGACTCCTTTACAGAGCTCACACTCACACTTTAACTATGTCTTTGCTAGAAATAAGTTTGGGGTCACAAGGAAAGAGACTGCCACTCCAATTAAAGAGATTCAACAAGGCAAAACTTTACTCCTGATCAGAAGGTTGGAAAACTCACAAAAACGGAGAAGCAAGCATACCCAGTGGAAACTTGATGTTTAACACAAGTGTACTGTGCCTTCTCCCCATTGGCTGGGGTCTGACCTCACACTCTTTCTAGGTCGGCTAGTTTTAAAAGAATTTGCATGCAAGGTGTAGTGGGACATGCCTTTAATCCTAGTACTTGGTAGGCAAAAGCAGGCAGATCTCTGTGAGATGGAGGTCAAACTGGTCTATATAGCAAATGCCAGGCCAGCTGGGACTATAGGGAGACCTTGTCTCAGAAACAAAGGACAATAAATAAATAAATAAATAAATAAATAAATAAATAAATAAATAAATAAACATGTGAACTGAACTAAAAGTAACTTTTCTGTCCACATATGCATTCCATTAGAGTGTAGGAAAATCTTCAACTCTGCTTCACACTAGCTAGTTCTGAAACTCTTTTCTGCATCAAAGCCTTGAATCCTGGTTTCCTCAGTCAAGGTCACTAAAAAATTAGAGGAACTCCTCAGGCTGCTGTCTCTGTGCCTTCATCTCTGACAGATCACTGTCTACAGATGAAGATACTGGGCCCAAGCAGTCCTTCATGATCACATTGTGGCCAGGTGAATTCAAATCCAAGTCCCCTGTCTGTCTGGTATTCTAGAATTTTTATTTTATTTATTTTTTTTTTTTTTGTGGAATGTTCCATCTCCCTGAGATTTACTTGCATGCAAAAAGAACCCAGCAGGCACTGGGAGATGATAGGCTAAAGACTATAGGCTGTGGTAATGATTTTTTAAGGGGGGAGGGAGGAGACAGGGCTTTGCCATGTAGCCCAGGCTGGCCTAGAACTGAAGCGCCTCTGCCTCAGCCTCCTGAGAGCCAATTGTAGGCATGTAACTATTTAACAGATACTATAATTCTCCAATCAGATCCCTTTTCAGAACCATTCTGCAGATACTAAGACTATCAGATGTTGATACCACACAGCTCCCCACATACCCACACATTGCGTGCCCTACTTTGGGCCCATATGTAATGACTGGCTAAGGCAATGATACAAAAACCTAGCCTTTTTGGCTCAGTTCAGACATTCTGAATGCCCAGTCCATCTCCAGAGTGCCCAATAAGGCCAACTAAGGCTACTGTTTTAACTACAAGTTTTATGGGTTTTTCTTTTTTTTTTTTTTTTTTTTTTTTTGAGACAGGGACTCCCTGTAGCCCCAGTTGGCCTGGATTTGCTGTGGAGAACAGGCTGGCCTCAAACCCACAGAGATCCACCTGCCTCTGCCTCCCAAGCTCTGGGATTAAAGACGTGCGGCATCACACCCGGCTCTTTCTTTTTTTATTATTTTATATGTCTGAGTGTATTGCTTACATGTAAGTGCACCTGTGTCGGGCAGTGCCTGCAGAGGTCAGAAGAGGGTGTCAAATTCCCTGGAACTGGAGTTAGTGCAGTTGTTAGCTGCCATGTGGGTGCTGGGAATCGAACTCAGGTCCTCTGCAAGAGCAGTCAGTGCTCTTAACCTCTGAGCCAACTCTCCAGCCCGTATGGGTTTCTGTTTATGCCTGATCCTGCTTTCCTTGCTTCCTCACATGTTGTATGAATTATTTTGCCTTTTGCTGTGATAAAATCACTGATCCATCTTTGTCTTGACTCCAGTCTGTCCTGCAAGATGGTCTGACAATTTGAAAATCTCTTTCTGGGAGAAACTTTCCCCCTTCCTGACCCAGGCTTCAGCCTTTGCTTCCCTGGGTATGAAAATCCTGGGGGAATTCTCATGTCTTGGGGTTGGCCCTGAAAAAGCAACCTAAGGGAGAAAGGGCTTGCTTGATCTCACAATTCAAAAATACAGTCCACATGGCAAGGAAGTCCTAGTGGGTCACATGGCATCTGCAGTCAGGAAGCTGAGAACATGGACTGCCATGCCACACTCACCTAGCGTTCTCCTTTTTATGCAGTTCAGGACTCAAGTCCAAGGAGAGATGCTGCAAGTTTTTTTAAGGGTGGGTCTTCTTATTTCAGTCAATTTAATGAAGATAATCCCTCACAGGGCATACTCAGAGATTAATCTAATCTAAATAATCCCTCTTAGGTGTGCCTAGTGGCTTATCTCCTAGGTTATTCTAGAGCCTGTCAAATTGACTATATCGACCATCACATGTGTACATTTCTTAAGTGCTGAGGAATGCTTGCACTACTCAATAAACCCTTGCTCCTGTACCTCTTCATCCTAGTCTGTTCCCAGAGAGCCCAAATTCATGTTCTGAAAGGAGATTTCCATGGTAGAATATTAAAAAAAAAATTTTTTTTAATGTGTGTGCATGTATTGCCTGCATGTAGGTAAGTGCACCCGTGTCGTGCAGTGCCCGAGGAGGACAGAAGAGGTTGTCAGATCCCCTGGAACTGGGGTTACAGACAGTTGTTAGCTGCCATGTGGGTTCTGGGATTTGAACCCGGGTCTTCTGCAAGAACAGCCAGTGTTCTTAACTGCTGAGCCATCTCTCCAGCCCCATGTGGTAGAATATTTTACCTGCTGGCTGACAGTAGGGTCCCTGTTACAGTGACATACTGAGTTCCAGGCTAGTCTAGGCTCCAGAGGGAGATCTGGTCAAAAGAATAGATTCTCACTTCTGGCAGTAAGATCAATAAGCAGCATCATATTAGAGCAGAGACCTCAAAATGGTAATGTTCTGTCTACTGTTGCCAAAGTTATTGGAGTCAGAGCCTGTACGTTGACAGCCCTAATAAGCTAGGCTCAGCCACTGATCCCTGAGCAAGCCAATTAAAAGAGCCAAATTAAAGCAGAAAATAATTATTCAATGTGGTCACATTAGCAAGAGGGACAAAGAGTCCATCTTCAGGGTCCTGACATGAGGTTTAGGCTTAAGTAGAGATCCAGAGTTATGCTTGGCTAAGCAGTCCTAGTCAAGGTGTGGTACTGCCCATCACTGACCCATCTTTGTCTTGACTCCAGTCTGTCCTGCAAGATGATCTGATAACTTGCAAATCTCTTTCTGGGAGAAACTTTCCCCCTTCCTGACCCAGGCTTCAGCCTTTTGTTTCCCTGGGTATGAAAATCCTGGAGGAATTCTCATTTCTTGGGGGTGCATGGTCTCAATAGTCTGAGCCAAAGAGAGGGACACACATGTCTCTTTAGAAAACCTCATTCCTGCCAAGCAGGCGGATTGGTTACCCCACTCTTTAACACCTCAATCCTGAGGTAGAATATGCCTGTGTCTGGAACTAATATGTATAAGAACCAAGATTAGAGCACATTCAGCTAGTGTCAGGTAACCATGCATGAGAAACTTTCTTTATAATCTCTTGGCTTTTTACTTCTGGAAGGGCTAGCATAAGCAACTCCATCTTGCTGGTTTGAGATGGAGTCTCACCATGATGTCTAGGCTGGTCTCAAACTTCTGGTTCTCCTGCTTCAAATTCCCAAATGCTAGAATTATAGGCAAGCATTACCATGCCCAGCATAACTTCACTTTGATTCTGACCACTTCCCCTCTTGTCTCTAAACAATATTCTCTGAGGACATCACTGATTAATGATCTGGTAGTTTGATCTCCTTTTCGCCAGGATGAGATCTGTCCCAATTGGTCTGATTTGATCCCACATTGGGGGAGTAAGTGACGGATGTCAAGGAGTTAGTGTCAATAAACATTTTACAGCCAATTTGATGCAAGTAAGGAGTAACTGATAGGAATGGCTGCCTGGAGCTGGCTGTGTCTACTTCATGGGTAGTGTCCCAATGTCTCAAAAGTAGTTCTCAGATTCCTTTGTCAGAAGTTGTACTTCTTGGGGCTAGAGAGATGGTTTAGCAGTTAAG